GGCTGGCAGACAAGAAAATCACCCCTGTACCTTAGCTGCAGGGCTACCTTATCTCTCTACTGGAAGTTAGAAAGGAGGGAAGGGGAAGGGAGGGAAAACAAAGAAATGAAAGAAAACATCTGTCGCTCTTAGGAGTGAGACCCATTTCTGAAACTGCTGCTTCAGCTTCACGTACAATTTTGTACTGAACAAACACCATTTATAATAGGAGCTGTTACTGAAGTTAATGACCAAATACAGATTTTAACCAACCTCAGATGTGCCTCATGATGTTAATTTCTGACTCAGTCATTAACTGCAGATAACAAATTTGCAGAGCCTATTTACTTGACTGAAGAGAAATACAGAAGGAAAATTAATCTCTCAAAATAAGGTTAACCACTGAAGGGATGAGTGACTTGACGGCAGAATCCTTAGAGAAATCTCTGAATCGAGGTGCAAAATGTAATTCTAGATTTCTAGGGGAAGAATCAAAACACAACATCAATACTTGGTTTCTACTTGGGACAATGTCAGGTTAAGCTTTGTTTAACAATGTGAAGAACAAGAATGTTTATTCAAATCCCTCTGGTGTCTGAGAGAAACAGATTAAATAGATCTTAGATCCTACCAACAGCATTTGCATTAGAAACACCCATTATATGGCTTTTCTGTGCATGAAATTCCATCAGTGGCATGATCCTAATAGAAAGGAATAGATTTCTATGGTGGCAGCAGACTAACAGCATCCATGATGGCTCAGTTCTGTTCTTTCTACAACTGTCAAGCCACTCATCATTTCAACAATACTGAACTCTTCAAGGGCACCATCCTGAGTCCAGCTCCCTACCATCAACTCCCACAAGCAAATGAGAGTGCAAAACCAAAAAAACTGGTTCCGACATTTTAGATGGGCATCCTTTGCATTGGCAGAAGTGCCTAAACCCCCTCTCCCTGGGAAGATGCTTCTGCCATTTGGCATCTTTTCTCTGGGAACCCTCTCCCCACCCTCTCAAGATATTTCCTACTGCATCTAAGGCTGAAAACAGATGTCAGCTTAGTGCCACCATAAAATTTTTATGGCAGTACAAAGCTCAAGCAAACAGACATCCATGGCCCTTGTTGCACCACAAAAGCCCAATTTTGTGGCCATGCCAACAGGTCATATAAATTTGTGCTGCTTTTTTCTGCACTAGACATCTGTGCGCCTTAAGATGAAAGAACACAGGTAGCCCAGAGCTGCCCATGGTCTCCAGTGTCCCCAGGCAGGCGTTCTTGGGACTTTAGAGGCTTGATCCTGCATGTCCTAGGAATTTCCCTGTAGGGATATAACTAAGACATGCAGGATTCGGCCCCTCAAGCTCCCAGTGCAACCCCGCTTGCAGAGGTGCATCCAGGGAATGCCTCAGCAGGAGATTCCCCAGGCACATGCACCACCCTGTTGTGCCCTGGCTCAGGGCACACCTCTGGAAATGGGGAAATCCTGGGGGAACACAGCTGATCCCACTCCAAGGAAAATATCTGTTTATAGCCTAAGAGAAGTGTTGTTTCCTTTTTAAAGGGCCCCAATCCATAAGTAGACAAGGTGACTACAACCACAGTGCACTCTGCACATGGTCTAAATCATCACCTTGGCACTGCCAGATGTATTACTGAATTACAGCATGCCTTTTGCAGTAATAATGATAATGCCTCACAGTATGAAGTGGCTGCTGTTGACCTATTTTCCAGCATTGATAGAAATCTGATGGTAGTTAAAGAATGTACCAGGTTCACTTTAAGCGGCAAATACGTACAAAGCCCTAGCCCATTTTCGAAACTCATGCTGTACATGTGATGAAGCCCACCAACACTTTCTGTGCCACACTGGGAAACTTAAAATTACAGCATTTTGTTGCTATAATGCTTTATTTCACAATTGAGTAAGCAAAAATAACAGGCTATGCAATCTGGTGGAGGAGAGGGAGGAAGGCAGAAATGCATTTTACGCTGCTTTTCTGCTCTGCCACATGTTTCTGACAACTGATTACAAGTGGTAACTGGCCCTGAGTTAATATCCTGAAGTTACATTTAAAGCTTAATTAAATAATGCTAAATCTATTAAAGGAGTACAGCATTATGGAACCAGACTAGTTTTATGCATCAGTATTGCCAAAAGATCTAAAATAAATTGCCCTCAATGTCCAAGTAACTGCACTTGTGTCTCCATGGTAACACTAGCAGCATGTACGCAACCCATTTTTGTACTTTAATTAAGATTAAACAACCCAGCCTGGGACATGATGATAACTGATCATTGCTATTTTCATTTATTTTGACTGAACACACAAAACAAGAAGGACCTCCATTAAGGTACCTTCAGGATGATAATTAAGATGTGGTACTTTGCAGCCCTATATTGTTATTTATGTTGTACTCCTTTGAAGGCTGGACAGCTACATTTCACCAAGAATTGCAAGCAGCCTCATTTGTCACAGCTCTGACCTCCAACCACCCCAACAGGATCATTTTTCCATCCTGGCACTTCACGTTTATGCCTACAGGCCAACATTTTCAAAAGTGACAAATGATTTTGGATACGTTGGTTTCTGGATGTCCAAACTAAAACACCCTTAAAGAGGCCTGATCTTCAGATTTGCATTCCCTGCAAACCAGACCGTTTAAAAGGTATTTCAAGTTGGTCATTCAAAATAAAGACAGCCCAAATCACTAACCATTTTTTAAAGCCTTTGATGCAGCACATATCCCAAATCTAAATTTGAGTTCTGCATTACAAATCAGACAAATAGCTCAGGTCAAATTTGGCAGGCACTGGAAAACTATGACAGAGATAAGGAATGGACCAAGTATGGCCGTCAGAACAAATCCAAAACTAACCTTTTGAAGTTGTTGAAGCTAAGGCTTTGCTTTATTGCTCTGGGTTCTGGTATGTCAGCAGCTACTGACTGAGCACCAGCATTTCCTAAAGCGTGTGTATTCCTGAAAAATGGTCTTAAGTGGGTGGGGACACTGCTACCGAGTCTAGTAAGGTTGTTGCCTCTAAAAGTTGACCAATTTTGCCTGTTGTGGAGGAGCCTGCCATTCTACTAACTTGGGCGGACCCCTACTTTTCCTGAAGATCACTATGACTTCACCATGGGGAATGCTGCAAATGCTGCTGTAGCCTTTGGACAGTTCGCTAGGGTAGAGCGGCCAGTTTTAGTAGCTATGACCATTGCTGGCTTCTTGTTTTTTTTAAACAGGAGTTAAGTGTACTTGAATCTGAAGAAAGCATGCACTCGATTAATCGAGTCTGCTGGAGCATGCTAATCAGCGCACTCCAGCAGCCTCAGCGTCTCATATAGTGTCCCCATGCTTCAAAATGGTGGTGGGGACACCTTAACTAAAGCTCGGGCAGCTTTAAAGTGCCTCTGCTGACATTTTGAAGTGCTGGATGCTGAATGAGTACGTGAAATGCTGCAGGTGCTTTAATTAGAGAGGCTCCCAAGGACCGCTCTAATTAAAGCACCTCTCCCAGCAACCCTGGAGCACATGTAAAGAAGCCCAAAGAGACAAACCGAAAACTGACTGAGGAAACAATGTTTATGATGAGTTTTCTATAAAAACAGTGAAAGGAAGGCAAAAAATATAAAATTAAGTTACACATGAAGCGTACTTGATGGCATCCTCTGAAGAAAGAGATAGGCATGTTGGCTGGATTTATGAGTACACTAAATAGCGCAAACAGTATCTTTGGTGTTTGCTTAGAACTTACTGATATACTGCAGGCATCTCCATCTCGCTCTGCTTGAATTTCCAAATTTCCTAGGTGCAAGATGGAAGCAATTATCCTAAAAATGGTCATCTGATGAGACTCCTTCACTCCTGAAAGAAATAATAGGTATCCAATTTTCACAACAAAACTTTGTGTGTTCCCCACCTTAAAAACATTTACATTGCTCGATTTCCTTCCTGGATGGACAATTTAAAAACAATCAAAATGTTCTCAATAAACAGTCATCACTCAAACCAACAGCTGAGACTGAGAAAGTAGCTTCTTATAGGCACTGTTAAAACATTAAATAGTCACATCAAAGTAATTTTTATTCTAGATGAGTTAAATACCATTTTAGCCTTGCCTGAGAGCCAAGGAAATGCTCCATGATGATCATTTCAACTGGATTTCAATTCAGGTGACCTATGAAAATTGTACGGCACCTTCATTTATTTGCTTTCATAGCCCAAAAAGGGGGGGG